AGAAAAATATCTGTTGTTTTATTCTGCTTTCTCCTTCAAATGGAAAAACGATTGTTAAGTGAACATCAAACAGCTGTTTCATGCATCTGTTTACATGTGTACTAAAGACTGCGGCACTTTAATCTCACCCACACACCCTTTATATGTGATAATTATGTGTAAGTGTCTCTATATGTGACAGAGTGTGAACACAGAGAGACATACTATATATAGGAGGGAAAGATGCATCATTCAGATAAATCACAGAACACAACATGTACTGTGACAGACTTTTTATAAAGCATGAACATCTCAACCAGCACTCAGTCAAATCATATCACCAAATCTGCAGTTTCAGAAAAGTCTCTGAGGTTTTCGCTGTCATTGTTAACGTCGTTCCAAGGTCGCTTTCTTCCATTCTGTTCCACACGTTCTTATACCATGAATGAGTATTGATTCATGATGCATCTGTCCTCAGGTGTGCTTGAAAGTGTACGGGCAATACACGTGCAACAACACATCGGTCCACTGAGATGTAGAGGAAGAGATGCCTTATTTTTTAACCTTGACACTGAAATATTTCATTAAATCGAGCCAGAAAAAGACAGGAAGGGGGGGGGGGGGAATGAATGCAGCAGAAAGGGGGGATTAAGAAGAGGAGATAATGAATGAAGGTAAATGAGGAGGAGGCCTTGAGAGGGGGATTAACACAACACATTATATTAGGTTTAAAAACTATTCTGAGGCCACGTTAAGACCGACTTTATCGGACCAAGGTAAGGTTTCTAAATGCTTGTGCATAAACCTTTAAACCTGTGTGTGTTTGCACTGTGTCGCTATGACACTAAATAAAGGTTCATCTTCTTCTAAACAAAGGAACTGTAACCCTCCTGTTGTGCAATACTATTCACGTGCAATATATATACCGTAAAAAGCTGCACAATATATATAAACTATCACCTTTAAGACTTTCACCTGGCTGCTATCTCAAAACTGTTGCTGGTACTGGATGTGTATTTGGTCAATTGTGTAATTTCTAGTTTTATCTTTAATATTTGTATGCATGCTTCTTGTTAATAATAAGGTTTTTTTCTTTGCTGTAACAATGTAAATGGATAAAGGTCCTTTGCTGGCTCTTACATTCACATCAGAATACCTTTATGGCGCGTTTCCACTACAGCCCGGTTTAAGAGGGCTGTGACGTCAGCGGCCCGTTTTTGGTTGCGTTTCCACTTGGCCTAGTACCGGCCGGCGGGTCCTAATTCACAGTTTTTCTGGCCTCATCAAATCGTGGGTCTAGGGCCAGAGACAACGAGGCTGAGTCGGGCTGAGTATGCTAAACTAGAGAGAGCGTCGCTGGCAAGGGGGCTACAACTACAACAAGATGGACATATTTGACCGTGATTAAATTGTAATACACGTTTCAAAATGATGCCGAAGTAACAACATACTGATACCGGTTAGTAAAAACCATGAATTAATGCTTTGTCAAGTCTGCAGACAGACGGCAGGCAAAAAACCTTTTAAAATGCGTGTTTTCTAAATGGAGATTGGCTAAGCTAGCGCAGTATATGCTCCGACCGTCCACACTCACAACAACGGCCTATACAGACATAAATAAAGCAGCGACTGTATTCACCATGACACAGGCAGTCTGTGGTTTGTACTTGTTTAACTTTTGTCTAGTTTCTGAACATATATGAGGAGCTGTGAGCTCTGAGTGCTAACAGCTAACGGCTGTGTTGTTTTTCTGGGGTTCTCATTGAAGATGACGTCACGGCTCCGCCTACACTGCGTTACTATAGATACTGCCCCAGTTCCTAAACTGTAATGGAAATGCGCCATAAAGTGAGCCAGTCCTAACGAGGCCTAGCCATACCGAGCGAGGCCGAGCGAGGCCGTGTAGTGGAAACGCGCCATTAGTCGTCCCACAGAGGGGACATTTACATTTGTTACAGCAGAAAAGAGCTTCATGTTAACTAAGGCCCCGTCCACACGGAGACGAAACCGATTTCGAACCGAAGCCGATTTAAAAAAAGTCTTCCGTCCACACGGAACCGGCTCAAGAAATGTGTCCGTCCAAACGAAACGCTGTAGTACATAAGTGGCGCTGTACTTCCACCACAAAATACACCAAAAGCAGCGAATAAGACCCCCGAGCATGGGCATAAACAAACAAACAAGGTAGAAGCACTGAAATCTGTATCATGGTCAGTAGCGTCTGGAGCACGAACGCAACCCTGTGATCCGCCATTGTTGTTGTTGTTGTTGTTGTTGTTGTTGGCGAAACGCATCAGCAATGATGCGGGGGTGAGCAGGAGAGGTGGGGAGAGGCAGGGCTATGGCGTCATCGATTCAGGAAATGATCGCATAGGGCGTGCACACGGAGCCGTAAGCGGTTCGTCCTCAGACCCACTTTGGGAGCCGGTTTCAAAGTGTATCGGATTCGGGCTCCGAAGCTGCGGCTCCGTTTCGGCTTCGTGTGGACGAACCGTCTAAACAAGGGGTGGGCAAACTTTTTGGCTCTGGGGCCACTATGAGTTTTAAAATGTGTCAGACGGGCCGGGCCAGTAGCAGATCGGTGAACAAATATTTAGCTGTCCACTCCTCATTAAACACTCTGCACTCAATGTCGACTTTTCTTTTCTTCGGGCCACTCATTGTTACAGATGCAGGTTCAAAGGTGAATTAGGTTCAAAGGTGAATTATTGCGTCATCGTTTGCGTCATGACGTAACCATTTACATGCCTTTTTATGACCCACACGGCGTTTTACGTCATTGATTTTCTCCGCAACACCGCTCACAACAACATCAATAGAGGACTGCGTCGGGTAGTTTTTAATCATACGAAGCCAGATTAAATTAAAGAACGACTTCTCCAACCATATACTTAGTGCCGTGGTGCATTGTTTATTAATGTGGTGCAGCTGCATTACTGGAGTTTAGTCAACTGTTAACTCGTGGCAGCGGCTGCTGTAAAGTATTCACTGTCCGACTGTCACACAAGCAGCTGATAAATATCCCCCATCCCCATCAGTGAATGTGTGTCAGTCTGAATTGACGCTGTTTGGCATCACAACGCTGTTATGAACGTTTCTCTGGCATTCTACAGGTGATGTTAGCATAGCAACCGAAGCTAATCAGACTATCTTGACTACTTGTTGCTATCATTTTGTGGCATAAGCCGTTTTCTACACGCATATTTTACCGGCGTAGTTTTCGTTATGATTGTACTTGTGATAGCCACATGTAGCCCATGTATTGATTCCATCCGATAGCTGCAATAATATAAAACAACAGGAAAACGTCTGCCTCTTCACAATGATCAATAACAGTGAACGGATGGTCATTAAAGTAAGGTTAAATAAACAGAATCACACTAAGCCTGGTTAGTGTTGCCTGACTTTATATAAGTGTTTTTAATAAGTGTGTGGTCGCGTTCTAGTCACTTTGCTCAGCGCTACTGCTTGTTACAACTTGTATTCGTTGTACTCGCCGTGAACTGTTATTGCTCAGGTTAATCTCGACCCCCTCCAACGTAAGCGTGACGTATTTGGTTCTTTGATCTTGCCGGGTTGCCGACTCCAGCAAAGGTCAATTGTGTCTAGAGTGCGCCATCTAGTGGGATCAACTGAAATGCCGGGTATTGCAGGAAAAAGGCTAAATGATCATCATTTGGACAATTTTGTACCAATATTCGGCGGGCCGTATTAAAAAGCCCAACGGGCCATATATGGCCCGCGGGCCTTAGTTTGCCCATGCCTGGTCTATACGATAGAGAACGTTAGCGGATTCAACTGATATCGTCTCCGTGTGGACGGGGCCTAAGAAGCATGCATAACCAATTACATAAATTACAAAATACACATCCTATATCCTTTTATTTAACAACGTAAAAGTCTCATTGAGATTAAAAACCTATTTTTCAAGAGCGACCTGGCCAAGAGGGCAGCATGACCAAAGTTACAACAAATGAACACAAAACAATACAGGGAGACGGTCGGTCGTAAAAAAACACAAATGAAATGGCACATTAACCAGTCAATATGCAAATAAAAGAAACTATGGGGTGCTGTGCAATATATACTTCTTCCACCTATAATGTCTTTCTTATTTTTTTATGCATGCTTCCTACTTAGAATTAAGCTTTCAAATTCACATTTTTTCAATTCAAAGGTTTTATTGTCATATGAACATACAGTGTAGAAATGGCAACGCAATTCTTCTGACCTGAGCTCCTCCAACAATGCAACATATATAATAACACACAAAAATACAAAATGGTGCAAGAAGTCTATAAACATGTAAATAGAATATGATATGTACAAGAACAGAATTTGAAATGAAATGTACATTAAGAGAGATCAGACGTACTTTATTGATCCCAAGTTGGGACATGTTTGTGTTGCAGCAGCATGAACAGACATGGCATTGTACAATAAAGATTAAAAGACAAGAAATAAACAAGAAAGTAGAAAATATACAGGTTGAATTTACAAATGAACAATAACAAGATAGAAAGCAAGGTATTATATATACGTATGTGATAGACACAATTAAATACGGTCTTTGGCTCTTTGCTGTAACACATGTATATGAATAAATGTCCTCTGCTGGCTCTTATACATTACATCCTATGTACAGAGACAGAGGGGTCTCTCTGCAGCGCTGCTGGTGTTTCAAAGCGACCCTGCAACAACATAATAATCCTCTCCGAAGGACCAACCTGCAGCCTCGCTTTCTTGTAGCCAGGCTTCCCCAGCTGTTCCTCTTCTCCCCTCACTGCGCATGCGCAATGAAGATAACCAATAGCGCTTCTGCACAGGAGAACAGAGGGAGAGAGAAAGAGACACACACACTTTAACACACTCTCACACACACTCGGAGAGACACGGTCGGGATGGAGCGTTTCCTCCAGTGAAGCAGAGGACCGGGATTCTGGACATCTCACAGCCGAGCTGGAGGGGGGGATTTCGGGGAACCAGACATGGCGACAGGGGGCGGTGGGGGGGGCGGAGGC